ATGAGAGTGATGAAGGCCATATATAGCTCCATGACGTTCGGAATAGAGTCAATTTTGGAAACTTAAAAATATCTGGGTGACATGGACCATATGGTGCATGTTAGCGAGTTCCGTCCATAAAAAACTTCACCCTCATGCCATTGCTATTTGCTATCACCATTGTTTCTCTAGTACATCTGAATTCCATTTTCGAATTATTGTTGTTATATGAAACGTTATTTTTTAAGAATCAAATGAGTATTAACTTTCACTTTTTGTTTTACTATATAGATGATCATATTATAAAGTATAAGGGCATCCACAATCCATTGAACTCTATAGAGTTCAATGGATTGCCACATCATCCATTAAGCATCAATACAACACCACCCACAATCCATTAAACACCTATTCAATCCTAATCACCACTTTATTCCTTCTATTGAACCATTCAATGATCAGTTAACTCCTTCATTCAACTCTACTCCATGTCATAACACACACTCATTTCAACTCTTATTCAATCCTAGTCATCACCTCATTCTACTCTTATACTACTTTCATTGTGGATGCTCTTAAATATTTATAAGATAAATTTGGTTAAATGGCCGTTTAACTGGTTTCCTTGATAAGACGGTGCATGTGGTTTTAACTTATTATATAGTTGGTCTTTATAATTTTACTTTTGTTACAGATATGAAATTACCATTCTCCTGATTAAGTTTTTATTATTAGTTTTTGTTTCCTATATATTAGTTAGTTATTATTCTAATTAATAAAAAAAAAACCTACTTTAATTTTAAATAAAAAACTCCTATTAAACCTAACCCCAAAGCCTCTTTCCATGGACTCTCACTTTTGATTAACTTCGTCTTCCCCATCTCTTTGTCCCATTTTCTGGTTTCAATGGTTGCCGGTCCTCCATCTCCCCTTCCTATTCCTTGCCTCTTCGTCGGAAAATCACCACAAAGAGATTGAAGCCCAACCACTCCACGATTAAATATCAACAACTTCATCCCCTCAATCAATTGTCTCCATTATTTCCACTGTCGGAATTGACTCACACAACCACCACCAAAAGATGTACCTTTTTCCTTCTTCTCCATTTTCACCGGATGTGACCTTCCTCCACCTCAGGTCTATAATATCTACCGCCTACTTCTTTTTCCTCCTTCCTTCCTTCCCTTCATCGCACCAACGACCATCACGCCGTAAGGTACACCCAAATCTCTCAAACTAAGACTTTGATACCAACTTGTAACGTACCCAAATTACTAAAGAGTTTTTTCATTTAAAATAAGTTAACCAGGTTAAAAACTTTTACGTAAAATCATCAAGTGACATTTATTTGTTTAAATATCGTAAAGTTAACAGAGTTGAATTACAAAACAACGGAAACCAAAATCTTCGATGCGAGTGTACAGTCCTACCGATCTCTTCCCAAGAACAACTTACAAAACATTAAATCCAGAACTGTAATCATAAAACTTAGTGAGTTCCCCAGTGTACCACATATTCTGTGACATCCATTTTCACGGCCAGAAAAGACCGATTTTGTTTATGCTTGTTTAAAAATCAGAGTAACATTTTAAAGAAAATTGTTGCGGAATTTGTTCCCAGAAAAATATGATAAGTACATTATCAAAGCATTTCCGAAGAAATGTATTTGTATTCATTTTAAAACATTTGGGATGTCATCGTCAATACAGAAACATAAGCATAAACAGAACTTACATTCATTATCACTAGTGATCTACACCTCTTTAATCTCTCAGTGTAATGTAACTTCATATCGACACCTGTGATACAAATAAACTTGAGTGGGTCAGGTTGGGAAACCTGGTGAGTACATAGGGATTTCAATCCCACAATGTTATATCATATATATAATTTAGATCTCACAAAATATACAATTTCCCCATATACATAATCGAGTTTTACCCCACCCCGTCAATCCTCACAACGAGACTATCCATACTCTTGGACCTTAAACTTTACCTCTTACTCCTGGATCTAATCCATGCTCTCGGATCAATATTTGTGCCCATTCCATACTCTCGGATTAGGGACAAGTGTCTACGTCTAAATCTATACTCCCGGATTAATGATGGATAACTATGTACTGTCCATACTCCCGGACTAAGGACAACTGACTATGTCTTAATCCATACTCCCGGATTGATGACATTTGACTATGTCCAATCCATACTATGGGACTAGGGACAATGAATATGTCTAATCCATGCTCCCGAATCAATGACATATATTAAAGTTCTATTATCTGAGTATAACTCACTCGTACTCGTAAGAAGATACTACCCAATATACCTCATAATTAATTTAGGTTTACTCTTTATCCTAAATCATCATATATAATCAGGTATGTTCTTTAACATGTATTTTAGGCAACATCAAATAACTCGTACATAAACATATATTTAATACTTCAATCAATACTTGTATTCAAATCATGTTCATGAAAGAAACTATGCACTCACTTGTTAAAGTGATGATTCCAAATTCGAGCAGCGGTTCACTTCTAACAATTCTATTTTCCTTCGACGAAACCTAACATTATTATCGCTAAGTTTTAGTCTAATCTTTACCGTGACTAATTATTAGTCTTAGCATTATTATTATATAAGCGTCTAAAAAATATTTTCCAACCACTATGTGCAGACAGGGGCCAGACATAAAACACCGGAGGGCAAGACCATTTTGGCATATAGCACTTCTGATATCCAACAACCCTATGCGGCCCTTTAAACCAGATTCCCCGTACCGCGAGTATTTTAAAAAGATATTATAACGACACTTATATAAGTCACAATAATAGCTCAAATATTTATTATAAGTTCATAATAACAATACTAATTTTAAATATAAACTATATTTAAAATAGGGTAAGCATAACTTACTTACAAGGGGGTTTTAGCTAGGAGCCGAGCTCTGCAGGGGCAGAACTTCGTCGCTGAATCTTTCTAAGAAAGATTCGTGCAGCGCTTCAGCGCTCACCTTACTATACTAAAACTACAGAAAGAGAATTCGAATCACGAGGGACTGAAATGCTTGGGGGATAAGAAGTGAAAGACTCTTGAATCAAGAGAATGATGCAAGAAATATGAGAGCCCAAGGCTCTTATTTATAGTAATTGAATTTACAAAAACTACCCTCCATAATTACTTAATGACCTTATAGTTATATAAACGACTAAACACCCCTTCATAATACTATTTTCAATAGATTTAACGATATTTGTACTAAACTAATGTCGAAAGTACTCAACACTAGTCTTATAATGACCGCATCGTCGATACCTTTCTAATGATATATACATTTGTATATATGATTTATACTATTATAATTTATAACTCATTCATACGAACTCCGTTTTTGACGTTCTTTATATCGACGCGTAGGCGGTACCGTACCCTACAACTTTCGTTTAGACTCCGTCGGCTAATTTTGACTTTATTTTTAAAGTTATAATTTTAACAGGACGGGACAGGAAAAGTCCGTTAAAAAATTCATAACTTCTTCATCCGACGTCCATTTTCGCCTGTCTTTTTACCGTTGCGCTACTATTAACGAGATCTTCGATTCTCGTTTAGGTTGCGTCGGCCAAAAATCGACTGATCTAAAATTCGAATTTCGGGCTGTGCACTGCTATGCCAAATCTTAGAAAAAGCATAACTTCCTCATACGAAGTCAGATTTTGACGTTCGTTTTATGCAGACTCTTGGTTTAACGTATATTACAACTTTCATTTATATATCTAAGGCAAAAAATTAGTTTATCAAAAATTCACTTTTTACGTTACGCGGTGTCGTGCTGGTTTCGTCGTAAAACTTCGACGGGCCATAACTTCTTCGTTATAACTCAGATTTCGGCGTTCTTTATATGTACGGAACCCTTGTAACATATACTATGACTTGGTTAAGATTAATCCTTCTAAATAATCTTCTACCAAAAAGTCATTTTTGGTGCTTATTGTCTCTAAATTGACTAGCCCGAATCTACGGGCGTTACATATTCCACCATACATAAAATGCATACAAGCAAAGTCCTCGACTCTAGTGCCGATTTTCCAACTCACCTATCCAAATGAATACAACTTACATAAAAATCATACATATTATGCATTGAAACTCTGTGTCAATACATATTCACAACTCAAAAATCCTCCAAAACTCATATCCACAACATAAAAGCACCAAGGGACCCTAAGGACCTATAAAGTTGCCAACTTTATGGAGTCCCAACACTCTAACACTTCAATTCATGGACAAATATGCATAATACCTTAGATCTCGCAACAAGGAAAAATAAATTTTGGATCTTGGTTACTCACAATGGTCTAGAAGTGTAACTAGAGGTTGCAAATGGAACTTCCAAGCTGAAACTATGCTTCAATGGTGATCTCTTCTTCTTCGACCACCAAAACTCCACCAAAAGCTTAATAATCACAATGAGAGGCTAGAGTTGGTGTTTTATTGAGCTTAGGGACGAAGGAGGCTATTTTGGAACCCTAAAATGAAGTTTATGGGGTTTAGATACGAAGGAAACACTAAAGATCATGGGCTTGGTGTAACATCCCGTTTATTAAATAAATAAATAAGATTAAATAAATTAACCCTGGGATGAGAAGTGTATTTCATATTATTTTACTGAAGCCCTAAATCCATAATAGTTTATTAGTGTCAGCCTTGGGAGTAAGATGTTATAAATTTGGGAATTTATGGTTTAAATGGTATCAACTGGACTTGTGTTGAATAGATTTTGGGAAGCAAGGGCTAAAGGGTAAATTTTCAGACTCAGTTGTAAAGATTACTAAGGGCAGGGGTTGTTTGGTAAGTTTTGGATTTAAGTTGAAGAGGATTTGGGAAGGTGGGACTGAATATGAATAATTGGTGAAAGTTGTAAAAGAACGGGACATAACCCGTCACCCTTTTCCTCATGGATGCGTTTTAAGGAAGCAACCAAAACCCTAACCCTATTTCTATTGCCAGCCGCCAACGAAGATGGAGGTGAACCACCCGCCGCTCCTCCATCAAGAAGCCAGAAGCCGCCGCTGCTCAGCTGCCGATGAAGACGGACTACGGGGGGGAAAACGCATCGCTGTTGCTGCTGCTGTTGTTCTCGGCTGTGCAACGTTTCTTCCCTCCTACTCACCGTCTGCCACATCACCGCCATCGCCGGCCGATATCGTTGGTGCCGTCTGGTGGCGCCGCCGTTGTTGCGGTGAGGATTTCCCATTCATTCATTGCTTCTCCGCCGTCGCCCACCTCCAAGGAGATACAATACATCAGCTTGGTAAGTGTTCCGCCCATCTGTGTATATTTCAGTGTAACATAGCGGTTGTTGTTGGCCGGAATGCTAGCGGACCACCATGACAGCCAACTATGGTGGTTGCCGCCAATTCTACTCCTTTCTGCCGCTTTCTGTCGTATTTTGCCACCACCAGCCACCGTGGTAGGTGGCTGTATGTGTATGTATGGGTGTGTGCTCGAGGGTACCTGCTGTTTTCGGTGTTCATGAGGTGGTATGAGATTGTTTATGAGGTGTGTATGTATGGTTGCCGCCCCCTGCCACATCTTTCTGCCGCCACCAGCCACCGTGGAGGGTGGTTGTGTGTGTGTTTTATTGTGTTTAATTGTGGGTTTGATGGGATTATGTGGAATGATTCATGTTTGGCCAGATTAATCAAGGGAAAAAACCCACCGCCACCACGAGCCGCCGTTGACCACCACTACTCGAGGTGGTAGTAGGTGGTACCTGGCCTAGTGAAACCCTAATCGGCCCAATAGCTTAAATTGGAATTAGTTGGTTTGTGATTTGGGTTGGAAACCCTAATCAGGGTTTAGAAAACCCTAATTTTTGAAAATGTTGGTTTGGACCTATCGGGACCCGCGTGTTGACCAGTGGACTGAAGTTATGACTTATGCCGATTCCATTGTATGATGGCTCAGTGGAATAATGGACTTAATGGGTTAAGTCATTAATGGGTTAAGTGATAACACTTAACCCTAATCGTCATTTTATTTAAAAACCCTAATTTGGTTTGGGCCTTGAGTTGGGCCTTTTGATGGGCTTTGGTGATTGGGCTATTGATGGGCCATCCAAAAACAAGTATATGGACTAGAATATGGAATTGGGCTTTAGGATATGGCCCATTGGAGAGGCTTGGGCCCAATTTGGAAAATTGGGCCATATTTGGGCCTTGAATGATTATGAGATATTGGACCATTAGAATGCCAAGTGTTGGACCAAGAATAAATGGTTGGGCCTTAAGGAAAGACCATGTGAGGAGTTTGCGCCCAATTTGGAAAATTGGGCCATATGTTGGGCTTCAGTTCATTGTTTGACTTTTAGGCCTTCATAGTATGAGTTGGGCCTTGGTCTTGGACCAAGCTATGTTAGGGGTAAATGGTCCTTTTACCCCCAAGTGTGTATTTATGGTTATGCATTGAAACCCAAATGGTTAATTGGGTTTTGTTTTGACGATTGACAGTTCGAGAATTGTCAGCCAGCAGCAGGGGAATTATCTACAGGACTTCAACAGTGTGAGGTGAGTTTCCTCCTAGATTGAACGGGTCTAAGGCACCAATGTCGGCCCGTGTAGTTTATATGTTCTTGATAGGAACACGGAGTGTGGGCGGGGCCCGTATCTCATTATTACCAGATTATAGATATCAGTCAGATTGTTGGATTGCTATACTTGTTGTCTGTGTGATACTTGTATGTGTGTGTTTATGTATGTGAGTGTGGGCGGGGCCCGTATCTCATTATTATTTGAGTGTGGGCGGGGCCCGTATATCATCATTACCTGAGTGTGGGCGGGGCCCGTATCTCATCATTACTTGAGTATGGTTAGTGGTATAATGGTAGGTTGTGTACTTGTTGTCTGTGTGATACTTGCATGTGTTTGTTATGTATTTGAGTGTGGGCGGGGCCCGTATATCATTATTATTCGAGTGTGGGCGGGGCCAGTATCTCATGATTGGTTGAGTGTGGGCGGGGCCCGTATCTCATAGTCAGCGGAGTGTGGGCGGGGCTCGTATCTCCTAGTCAATGGAGTGTGGGCGAGGCCCGTATCTCCTAGTCAGCGGAGTGTGGGCGAGGCCCGTATCTCCTAGTTAGCGAAGTGTGGGCAGGGCCCATATCTCCTTGAGTGTGGGCGGGGCCAATATCTCTCAGTAGCATGATTATGTGTATGGTATGTGGTAGTTTTGGGAGACTCACTAAGCTTTGTGCTTACGGTTTTCAGTTTTGGTTTCAGGTACTTCCGTTTTCAAAAGAGGAGCTCGGGATGATTACAATGCACACACCATTTGTTCAGCCTGGGATGTTTATACTCTGATATTTTGATAAACATTGATTTGATGTTTGAGATATTATGACATGTGTTTTGGACATCTATGGTTTTATTAATAATTAAGAGCGAAAATTTTGGACCGTATTTTTGGCAAGTTTCGCTTGGGCTGCAATGCATCTCATTTCGTAAGCTCTTATTACTCACATCGTGAGCTCAACAAAATTCATTATCTTCATTTAATCACTCCTCAGGTCGTGACCCTTCTATGGTCACGTCATGAGCCTTAGTTTTACCCAAAAACCATGCCTTGACTCCTTGAAGCCCTAAATCGATACGATCTGGAAACAGGATGTTATATATATATATATATTATATATATATAAGATATATATAGATATATATTATATATATATATAAACATCCCAAAATTCCAGACCAAAAATTTTATTTTTAATTAAGTAACCTATAAAACAGTTTACTGAAAAACATCATCAATTCATATTATTTCATAAAACATAGTCACGTGTCTCAAAACCATATCATAAAATAGTAATAATGTCAGAGTACAATCCCAAGAATCTCATAATGCGGAAATCCTGTGTATGCGTGGGTGTGATGCGTTGCTACCGTGCCGGCTCCTTCCCCTTCGAAGAAGAGGTACCTGAAAACAAAACAGAAAGCTATAAGCGCAAAGCTTAGTGAGTTCCCCCATCATAGCACATACCATACTATAAACATACTGCCAGGCATATCTGGGTGCCCGACCTACCCTGCTAGGCATACCGGGGTGCCTAACCTACCCCTTTCAGACATACCGGGGTGTCCGACCTACCCCTCCGGTTTATCTCAACCGGTTACGGGGACTATTTCACCCGTACTACTACCACATAATAACATAACATAATCATACTATCAGGCATACCAGGGTGACCAACCTACCCCTTCGGTCCTTACAACCGTAACATGGGGACTATTCCCCCTACTACCACTATCACCTAACATCATATCATACTAGCATATAAAACATATCAGATAGTGGCAAAGCCAGGTAATTATCACAAAGATAACTACCTGACGAAAAATCCCTACTAGTGGGCCGGCATTGTGGTCGTAGACCCACCCCTATTGGAAGGTAACTCACCTCGATGTCGTGCAGTAACTGAACTGTCCTCGATGCTAAGGTCAACTCCTCTCAAACTCCTACACATAACAACCTTCCTTAGTTACCATTTCATACTCGTAACCCTCTCAAGGGTCAACTCAGGTCAAATTCAAAGTCAAGGTCAAAGTCAACATCCTGGTTTACTCAACTCGGCGAGTTGATCCATCAACTCGTCGAGTTCCATAATTCAGAGAAACTCGAATTCGCGATCGGACTCGTCGAGTTACCCTTTAACTCTCCGAGTTTTACTTATGATAGAATCGGGACTTTCCACTTGTACTTGTCGAGTCCTTCCTTGGACTCGTCGAGTTCTCCTTCATACAGATCAGAACATTTGCTCATGGACTCATCGAGTTCATCCTTGAACTCGTCGAGTCTTGCATCCTATCAGTTGGGACATTGCCTTGAACTCGCCGAGTTCATCCTGAAACTCGTCGAGTTCTTTGATCTTCAAGTTCATATTCATGTCCATCATGTTGAGTCCTCTTCTAGACTCACTCAGATTGCTCATAAAAAGACAAGGTTGGGGAACCGTGACCCAACTCGCCGAGTCCCCTGAAGTCCAAGTCCATACAATCGATTTCAGTCGAGTTTATTGCATCCAAAGCATAGATCTGGCCTCCTAGGGTCGATATAACACGTAAAGTTACAAGCTTTACGTGCATGCATGGGTGTTATGAAGCTAAAACACCAAAACTAGGCCATAAAGGAGTTCTAATGCATGGGATAGGGCTATAGCTCAATGAAGGTGTTAACTTTGAGCTTCCTAAGCTCAAATGTTCCCAGATCTGAAGTCATTACTCTAATATTCAGTCAAATCCCGAAAGTGACTTAGAAATGTCCCAAAAATGACAAGATGCAAGCCATAAAGAAGATCTAAGTGATGGAAAGCCAAGGTTGAAGCTTTTTACCTCAAAAAAACTGGAAATGCAACCAAAAATCTGGATCTACTGCCTTCTTCTTGGATCTCCAAGCCTTTCCTTCCTTCTCCAAGCTTCAAATCACTAAAATGGCACAAAATAGCTCAAGGATACTCACAAACTGATTAAGGTTTCGAGAATAGGGTCTGAGGGTGATGGAGGCTGGAGTGGAGGCCATATAAGGTGTTTAAATAGAGTGCAAACCCTAAAATGTAGGGTTTCATTCAGACAGATCTACTTGTCGGGTCGGGGCTTCCGACTCGTCGAATAGACTCTTCCACCTGCGTCCAAGATTAGCCCTTACTCGACGAGTTTGGGTCCACCAACTCGTCGTGTCCCAGTATAAAAATGCAAAAACGCATATTTTAAAATACGTACCGGGAACCGGGCGTTACAAATCTGCCCCACTTATTTTAGACTTCGTCCTCGAAGTCTGCTGCTGCATCTGGAAAACGCTCAGGGTAGTGCTACCTCAACTCGTCCTCCGGTTCCCAAGTCGATTTTGAGCCCTTGCGATGCTGCCATTGCACCTTCACCATCTCGACCCTCTTGTTCCTCAGATCTATCGACTTCCTGTCGAGGATAGCTACTGGTCGCTCGATGTAATTTAGGTTGTCATCCACCTGAATATCCTCTAGAGGCACCACTGCAGAGTCGTTTACCAGACACTTCTGCAGCTGGGAGACGTGAAAGGTACTGTGAATCTGGCTAAGCTCGGCTGGCAGATCCAGCCTATACGCCACGTTGCCCACCCGGGCTACAACCCTGAAAGGTCCAATGTACATGGGGCCCAACTTGACCCGCTTCCTGAACCGGATGACACCTTTACAAGGTGACACCTTCAGGATAACCATATCCCCGACCTGGAACTCCAGGTCCGAACGGCGCTTGTCAGCATAACTTTTCTGCCGACTCTGAGCAGTCTGAAGCCTGCTCCGAACCTGTTGGATCCTCTCCGTCGTCTTGAGTACCACTTCGGTACTCCCCATGACCCTC